TATAGCAACGCCATACCCACTATAGCTTGCATCAGCGAACAATGTAATTGTACATAAGCACCTTCAGCTTGCACTTTCCTTGAGCATCCTGGAACCTTAGTATTCTCCAGGGAATCTATGGTTTTATCCATTTCCCATACTCCTTTGATTCCCCATCAGGCATGGGCCCATCCACATCAGTCCCCTTCTGTACAAGGGGTCGCACTAGGAACCAACCATTGACAGCGTTCCTCTTCCATTTTCCTCTCTATCTCTTATATTTATTTTGAACTCGAAACCATCTGTGGTGACCGACCACACGAGTCCAAGAGCCCCCTCTGTGGGCAAATTCTGCATATCTAGATGTTCTTCTACAAGCTTTTCCCGACTATACGGGGTCGCTGAAATAGTCCCTCAATTGACGCCTTTAGTTGTTTCTATCCTGTTCAATCCTGCTTCCCTCATATCCCAGCTCACACAATCCTTCCATCTCATCCTTGGTCCTCCCACCACTCTTCTTCCGGGGACCCCTCTTCCTGATGACACACGCTTCAGGCAGTGCTCCTCCTCTCTTTGCTCGACATGTCCAAACCAAAACTAATCTCTCTTTCACTTCCTGGCCACCTCAGTGACGTGTAGAGATTCTCTAAAGTGGCGGTTAGACACTCTGTCCCTTATTGTCACCCCGCGAGTCCATCGCAGCATTCTCATTTCGTTCACATCCAGGCGCTCCTCTTCTCTCTTGGTGGTTGCCCAGGTCTCTGCTCCCTAGGTGAGTGCGGGTCTTATTACACTAGTGTAGATCCTTCTCTTTAGCCTCATGCTCATTCTCTTATCCGTCATTACTCCAACACACTTCCTCCAATTCCTCCATCCACTTTGTATCCTATTTGTAATCTCTGCTTCCATCCCTCCATCATGCTATACCATAGACCCTAGGTACGTGAAGATATCAGTCTCTCTGAGTACCTCTAGGTCTATTTCCAAATCCACCTCCTGCTCATCCTCCTCTCCGAAGTGGCATTTCATGCATTCCGTCTTCAGTCAGCTGATCCTGCGTCCTCTATCCTCTAACTTTTCTCTCCAACCCTCTAACAATATACTCATAACAGTATGCACATAACAATATACTCTGGCTCTCCTTTCAGTCTGAGGCTCCTCCAAATTCCATCACGTGGAACCCTGTCTGTATATCTAGACCTAATGTGTCCATTTGATGTATGCGATCTTCTACTGGAATTGATTCCAGTACATTCCTGTTACTGATGCAGTCTCTTAGATTAAATTTTCCCCTTTTGCATAAATCTTTTAAATCCATGATCATATCAATAGCTCCTTTTGACGTTGGTACAGATTTCAAGCAATCATCAACATAGAAGTATTCACTAATACATTTCATTACCTCATCATCCCAAAGCCCCTGACTGTCTATTACGACTTGTCTCAAAGCCATATTAGCACAGGCTGGGCTAGATATTGCACCGAACCAATGTACAGTCATTCTAAACACTTTAGGTTCTATGTTCGATTCACCCTTTGGCCACCAACAGAAACGTAAGAAATCCTTATGCTTCTCAGGAACTTCAACTTGATAAAACACACTCAATGTCACCCATGATGGCTACAGGTTCCTTTCTAAATCTGAGTAACATGTTGTGAAGCTTGGTAGCTAGATTTGGACCGTGAAGTAAATGATCATTCAATGAGTCATCTAAGTACTTAGCTGAGCAATCAAAGACCACTCTCAACTTCGTTGTTCTTGGGTGGTATACTCCATGGTGAGGAATATACCATACCTTTCCGTCATTTCTGCTTATCTCTGATTCAGGCCCTTGTTCAACGTATCCATTGTCATTTAATTTTGCCATAAAAGCTGCATATTCTTAAGCAAATCCTTGGATTTTGCTGAACCTGTTTTCAAGATGCTGCAGTCTTAATTTTGCATAATTCTGATTATTTGGAATCTTCACCTCTTCGTCATAGAATGGTAACTCCATCTCGTAGTTGCCATCCACAAGTTTCATTGAATCTTGAACTTTACTTAAAAACAACTTATCCTTTAATGAATTTTCCCCTTTATCATCTATTATCAGTTCTGGGAACTCCATGTTGATTAGTTCTCTCACCAAATGGTCGAGCCCTTTTTCGTTCTTCATTCTTACTAAGTTCTGCCGTACCAGTTTTGTAAGATGTTACAAGATCCGCTCCCTGTCACTTCAGTAGACCCCATATTACCCAACCTATTCTTGTTTAGGCAGCAATTGGGCAGTAATCCTCTCCTGATACAATTTCGAATGGTCTATATGCTTCTAGGTTATTGTTTCCGATCAACGGATTCACTTCTCCATCGGATTGTGGAATCTCTATGTCCTTTAAATGTGGCCTCTTTTTTAAGCCTTCCCTTGAAGACATAAACCCTCTGCAAATATTTATTTTGTACTGAGAATGAACATTTTATAAGTCTACCGAATCGCTTCCTGCCAAGGCACCAATTTGTAGATCCTTCAGTACCGTAGAGATCACCTTCCTTTTCCCATTAAGGGTCTCCAAGTTGCATGTGATTCCCTTTCCCTTACACTCCAGCTCATTCATTAGTTTCTCTGAACAAATAGTTGTAGTTGAACCCGGATCAAAGAATGCCAGTGTCTGTGTGGTTTTGTGACTATTCTTCCATTTTACTTTCCCTGATGTGATTGCTAAGGCGACCATTTTGTCTGTTCCCTCTGACAATGTATGGCAAGCTTCTGCATTCATGTTTACCACCTCTTTGGGATTTTGAACTTCTTGTTGCTCAGACTTCCTTTGTAATGTCATCTTTTCAATTCTTAATTTCTCGAATTCAGCCCTTAGATTCCCAATTTCCTCCTGTAGTGGTGTATTTGTTAACCTCATCAAACATTCTCTCCACATGCATTATTGTGGGTTGTTCTTCACTGCACCCAAGGCAAATTTCCTTCTTGAAACATTGAGCGTTACCACGACCAGTTCTCAAGCATGAGAAGCACAATTTCTTTTCCCTTATTAGCTCAACTTTCCTTTCATATTCAAATTCCTTAAACCTTTTACAGTTAAGTAGCCTACGGTTTCCCTTACATTGATGACACCCATTTTCGTAGTCTTCATCACTACTTCTCTCAAATTCCCTTTCTTGGACTTGTGTAGCAAATGCTTGTTTCATCATAGGGTTATTAGTTTTACCCTCAATTAGTTGCTCTATACCATGGATGGGATGCCTGGCTTTCTTGGCTTCCCCTGAAACGAATTCTGCCAAGTCTGAAAATACTATAGGCTTAGAGGCATCACCTTTCTCACAGACAATTGCACACCACCTTTCTTGCATGTTGTATGGCAATTTCATAACAAGTTTTCTCATGTTATCTGGGCTTCCTAAAGTTTTAACTGAATCCATACTTAATATATCACACTCACATCCTGCGAGAAACGGAAAATTTGTCAAGAGCTCCAACATCATTTCCCTTGATTACTGGCCAATCCAGAGCCTTCTTGATCTAAGCCCGGGCCATAACGTCATCATTCCCATAACAATCCTCAAGTTCTTTCAAGGCTGCCTCATACCCCCTTTCTGGATTCATACTCGTAAATTCTTGTATTCTTTCTCTTGCTTCCCCTGTGGTAAATGGTTCTAAGTAGCTTAAACGTTCATCATAGGAAGTGCAGTAGTTTAGCACCTTTGTTCGAAACCGTCTCATAAATCTATTGAAGTCAAGAGAGTTACCATCAAATGGCCCAATATCCATATTGGGTTTTTGCATCTCTTTGACGAACGAGTCCATTTTTGCTATGAAATTCAAACTGGGCATATCTGGAAGGTCTCCATATTTACAGGCATTTATACTCCGGCCTTGGTATTTGTTTTCATCATATGTTCCGTTGTCACGTAAGCCGTATCGCCTGGAATCATAAGGATTACTAAACCCTTCAAACCTCGGAACTTGAGATATCTCTTGATCGTAAGAACTCACTCTACTTTTGGGACCTAATCCCCTTCTAATTTTCTTAGCCATCCCAAGCCTAGCGTGAGCTACATCCCTTTCATTTTTGATTAACTGCCTCTCTCTCATACTCTAATACCTCCGTTTCCTCTTTCCACATTATTTCACATTCTTTCATTTTAGCATCTTCAGTTTTATGTTTTCATCAGAAGGTCTCTGTGAGAAGTATTACCGATTAATTCTTGAGGCTTGCTATGTCCTCCAGAGTTAGTTACCTTTTGCATCACCTTTAAAATCCAAATAATAACATGTAATGGGCGGGAAACCAGTGTTGCTTCTTTCCAACTACTCCGTGTCTTTGATTCAGCTCCGACTTATAGGTTATTTTTCGTTCATTCATTCAGTTTACCTATTTCACCTTTCTCCTAAACACGAGCACTTGCGTGCACGAGGGCCATGGTCGCTAATGTCACTAACAAGAAACTTCCTCCATGACATATTGCATCAAATTCAAGCATTTCACTCCCTTAGCGTGCAGAAACAGTTTCCCGGATTCGCTAATCATCAATAGCCATCCTCAAATCTTTGTTACTTTTCTCCGAAAACTAATCATAAATAGGCTTGGTCATATGTTCGATCCGTGCACTCGTTCACAGCCATAATGTTTTTTGCCTCAATAATCGCCCGTCAAACACCGTGTCACTTCCGTAGACTTAGCGCAGTTCGCTCCTTCCGCCCGTCTCTTTATCGTCACGGCAACGTAACAGCAATGATCTCCCTCTGCGTCCCTCAAAAACTTTGTTACTTTTCACCAAAAAACTAATCACAAATTAGCTTGATCATATGTTCGATCCGTACACTCGTACACAGCTATGATGTTTCTGTCACATAATAATCGCCCGTCAAACACCGTGCACTTCCGTAGACTTACCGCAGTTCGCTCCTTCCGTCCTTCTCTTTATCGTCACGGCAAAGTAACAGCAACGATCTCCCTCTGCGTTTGACTGTAAGCGCCATTTCACGCGCTTAGATTATCTGCGTTAACTCGAGGTGACTGATACCACTGCGTCGTACTCGCTTCTCAATTTATTTGAATGCGGTCAAACCTGTAATCAATACATAATCAATACAATATCAATCATGCAATAATAACCATAATTGCTGTTACAATCCAACTTAGATTCACTTACAAGATCATATCAGTACTTATAATACATACATACATTTTACTGTTTGCTAAGAATGTCATTATACCCTACTGCTTTAGGTAAGCAACAACATACACTGTATATACACTATCTATACATGAATGTGTATGATACATACGCATAGCGGGAACAGTCAAGGCCTTTAACAGAAGTCCACAGATCGGTCCTTATGTACGTGTTGTCGAGCCAGTATTCACTCTCAAACTGTTCTATAACTTGCGATGGCCCCCTTTCGTGAGACGCCCTTCCTTCATTTATACGTCAACACTAGGGACAAGGTCTAATTCAGCACATACAAACACATGGAACCCATGAGGAAACCGTCACCCAAGTCCTAGAAGTGATGATATGTGCGTGATGCTGGCGTCAGCAGCTACGCCATGTCGGCGCTGATGGCAGTGGCTACAGATGTTATACACGTGATGCTGATGCCAGCGGGTACGCCATGCCGATGTTGATAACAGCGGCTACAAGTGGGGGGGGGGAGCGCGGGGGAACGGCGTTCCCCCAGCGATTTTTCCATAAGTTTGTGAAAAATTGGCAATTTAACTGTGTGGTAACGCGAAAACTACGATTTTTTAAAATTTGCTCTGTGGAAATACACTTAATTCTTGTCGTTTATTCTGTTTTTATTGTCGTTTATTCTGTTGAACTTTTTACTTTTTTTATATATTTGTATTCTCTTTTGTATTCTTGTATTATTGGCTATTTTTTAACTTTGTTTTTGTATCATACTTTTTATTGTTGTTGGATAATTTATAGTTTTTTTTATATTTGTATTCTGCTTTGTATTCTTCCATTACTGGCCTTACTATTTTTTTTCAATTTCATATAACCATTGTATTATTGCTGGATATTTTTATATGTTAGAGATATATATTTTTTTCTTATGTAACGGCTTCTGCCTGATTTCCTGGTGCTGAGCACTTTGTTACTTCGCGGATCCATTTCGAGTCTTGCGGTTTTATGCTGCTGTATGAAATTTTTTTTTACGAATTTGTGATATTATCTTTTGTGTATTCTCAATATATTCTCTTACATTATCGCTTAAAATTTTCGACTTTTTCTTATTTAGGTCTCATGTGGGGGGGGGTATTGGCACAGTATAAAAATAGAGTCAAACAAGTTTGTCGGCAGCGTTCCCCCAGCGATTTTTTTACCACTGCACCCCTGATATATATATTTATATATATATATATATATATATATATATATATATATGTTTATATATATATGTATGTATATATATATATGCATATTTACATATATATATATATATATATATATATATATATATATATATATATATATTTGTTAAAATATGATCGCCGCCACCCTACTCCGTGTAGGGCAGGCTGAAGGCGGGCAGGTGAGGAGTCTCTTTAGGAGAGGACTCGTGGTAGAAGGTCCGCCGTGCTCTGGATAGCGCGGCGTCGAGGACATGGCGGGGGTAGCCCAGTTTGGAGAACGAACGACGCAGAAAGTTGATCTCTCCATCCAGGTACTGGGGGTCACAGATGCGGAGGGCGCGGAGGAACAGCGACGTGGCAACACCTCTCTTTACATGGAGAGGATGGTAAGAGAAGAAGTGTATATACATACCACTATGCATGGGCTTCCTGTATATGGAGAAGGAGAAGAGGTCAACAGAGCGATGAACTAGGGTGTCCAAGTTAAGTCACAACTGTAATTAATGAAATCACAATTAACAAGGAAGTCATAATAACAGTTACTGAAGTCACAAATAGCAGTTAAATCATAACAACAATTGATGAAGTCACATATAACAATTAAATCATAATATAACAGTTACTGAAGTCACAGTTAACAAGTAAATCATAACATAACAGTTACTGAAGTCACAGTTAACAATTCGATCGTAATATGACAGTTACTGAAGTCACAGTTAACAAGTAAATCATAATATAACAGTTACTGAAGTCACATCTAACAATTGACGCATAATATAACAGCTACTGAAGTCACAGTTAACAATTAAGTCACATCAAAAGTTCCATAGATAAGGGAGTCGACAAAAAATAATAAAATACAGAGTGTAGGCCACCCGCTTGAAGTGAAATTCCCATAAAAGGAACCCCATAACATCCCCTGTTCGGTTAAAGGGATAGTTGTGGTTGTATCCAGTTCCCGCTAAGGGTACGAGTGTGCCGGTTTCTGTCTTTGATTGTTCCCTAGTTTAATATTTTATTCTTTTTTTTTTACGTGATATCTAGTTTTGTAATTAGTAGTGAGGCCAAGTCAGGTTTGTTTTTAGTTTACCTGGTCATGTCATTTTGTTTATTTTATTTCATTATTATTATTATTATTATTATTATTATTATTACTATTATTATTATATATTATGTATATATGTATACATATATATTATATATATATGCATATATATATATGTATATATATATATATATATATATATATATATATATATATATATATATGTAGCCGCTGTTATCAACATCGGCATGGCGTACCCGCTGGCATCAGCACCACGTGTATAACATCTGTAGCCACTGCCATCAGCATCGGCATGACGTAGCTGCTGGCTTCAGCATCACGCGTACATCATCCCCTCTAGGACTTGGTTGACGGTTTCTTCATGGGTTGCGATAAGGATAATGCCATGGCCGTGTTCCTCCATGTGTTTGTATGTGCTGAATTAGGCCTTGTCCCTAGTGTTGACGTATAAATTAAGGAAGGGCGTCTCACGAAAGGGGGGCCATCACAGGTTATAGAACAGTTTGAGAGTGAATACTGGCTCGACAACACGTACATAAGGACCGATCTGTGGACTTCTGTTAAAGGCCTTGACTGTTCCCGCTATGCGTATGTATCATACACATTCATGTATAGATATACATTAGTGTCAGTGTATGTTGTTGCTTACCTAAAGCAGTAGGGTATAATGACATTCTCAGCAAACAGTAAAATGTATGTATGTATTATAACTACTGATATGATCTTGTTAGTGAATCTAAGTCGAATTGTAACAGCAATTATGATTATTATTGCATGATTGATATTGTATTGATTATGTATTGATTACAGGTTTGACCGCATTCAAATAAATTGAGAAGCGAGTACGACGCAGTGGTATCAGTCACCTCGAGTTAACGCAAATAATCTAAGCGCGTGAAATGGCGCTTACAATATATATATATATTCTTGATTTCCACGTTTTTGGTGGATTTTTTTCTGTACTCTGGGGTTAAGGTACAACGAGTTTCTTAAAATTCGTGACGATGCGACTGTTTTTTTTTCACACACACACACACTCACTATATATATATATACAAACATATATATATGTGTGTGTGTGTGTGTGTCCATATATATAAATATCTATATACATATATATATGTTTATATATGGACACACACACATACATACACACAAACACACGCACACACATACATACATATATACATACACACGCACACACACACACACGCATATATATATATATATATATATATATATATATATATATATGTATATATATATATATATATATATATATATATGTATATATATATATATATATATATATATATATATAAATATATATGCCTATGTATATATACATATATATACATATATATATATATATATATATATATATATATATATATATATTTATATATATATATACACACATATGTGTGCATGTGTATATATGCGGAAGGAAAAAACCTTCCACGAGTGTTAGAAAAGAAAGGAAAATCACGGGCGCAGAGCACAAGTGGAAAAAAAACGCGCTGACGGGACATCGTGCACTGCAAAATCAGGTGATGACGACGCTGCCTGCGAGGGAGCGACCGGGAGGCTGACGGGGCGCTCGATCTCCTACTCCGCCGCGTGAAGCAGTTCAGGAGAGATCCGAGAGGGACTATAGCCCTTTGTCTTTTATATTTGTCATGTTTTTAGGGACGTATGATTTTGTATGATTTCAAACGTATGGCCCGTGTGATTTTGGCGGTTATTTTTTTTTTTTAGTAAGCAGGGTTTGTCCTTAATATTTGTCATTTTTTTCTTAAAGGACGTTCCAGTGCGTAATATAGAAACTTAATGTATGTAACATGTATGGAAATTTGAATGTAGATTTGATGTATTTTCATGTAAACTTAAAAATAATAAAATACAGGAAATTTTAACATTGGTTTCTTAACCATCAAAGGAATTAAGACAAATGTTCTAAGAATGATTTAGTTGAAGGAGATATGTTTTCCCTGTTTTTCTAATAAAACAGTGATGGTGGCGGCGAGCATATTTTAACAAAAATCTATATATATTTCGATATATATATATATATATATATATATATATATATATATATATATATATATATATGTAAATATGCATATATATATACATACATAATACATACATATATATATATATATATATATATATACATATATATATATATATATATATATATATATATATATATATATATATATATATATATATATATATACATATATATATTTATGTATATGTATATATATATTTATATATATATATATATATATATATATATATATATATATATATATATATATATATATATATATATATATATTTATACCTAATACTCTTTCTGCAACTGAATTTGTAGAAATCATATAGTTTACCTTCAAAAATATCATTCTCTTTAGTATTCATTTAATAGAAAACGTAAAAAATACTTTTGTAGGTAATACTCTTAAAACATGTTATGGCAGATGGTAGATAGTGTTATGATATATACTGTATTACTGCAGATTTTCAATAGACAGACTGACAGACACAGGCAGGTATACACACACACACACACACACACACACACACACACACACACACACACACACACACACACACACACACACACACACACACACACACACACACACACACACACACAAACAGTCAGCTGATTTTCTATTTACTTTTTCAACCTAGTTTTTATTGCATAATGGTCGTCCACACGTTTCCTGGGGGACTCTTCTGTTTGTGTTCTATTTAGTTATAAATGTATAGTAATTTTTCTGTTTGTAGAAAAAAAATAAAGTCTATTATAATTTTTCATTAGATACTTTCACAAGTGCTTCGTCACCAAGAAGACAGTTACTAGGCCTGCATATGTCCCTTGTTTCCCTTTTCCTTGATTTTGGGACGGAAAAAATACTATTGGTATTTCAATAACTTTATGACAAACCTGTTTTATATAATAGTAATAACAGTACTAATATTAATGATATTACAGGAAAGAGAGTCTGAGGAGAAGACGGACGAGAGAGAGAGTCGAAGGATCGGTTATGGAGAAGACGGAAAAATATGAGGGAGGAAGTATGAGAGAAGCGAGAGACAAGAGGGAAAGGAGGAAAAACCGTGGAGACGGGAGAG